TTATTCATCGAGTTCTTGATTTCAGTCCCTATACTTTTCATTTGTACCGTTAAACTTTTAAAGTCTGTTTATTCCTTGTTTCTTGCTGTATGGTCATCTTTGTAATTAGAGCTACTCTGCATTTTATCTCCAACAACGGAACACATTAAGGATATTAAGTGTCGGATGTTGTAAATCTGCTGTTCCATGCGTCTGTAATCACCCATAGTGGCTGGTTTTATGTTTGGTGATCATCAAGTACCTCTATGGGAGTTCTATAGGCCTACTTAAGAGAGTTTACTACGAAGATCTGACTGCTTCTACTGGTATCCAGGGAGCCCAGCCTGCTCCGACTCCCCTGCTCTACAGCCCCAGACTCCTGCTATAATTGCTCCTGGCCACCTAACCCCGGCACCAGTCCTTACACTGACGAATACAGATTCAGTTCTAATCGTTTAGCATTGGGCTTGGGGTGGGGAAGGGAAGGGGGGAAACAGCTCTACTTTTTTCAAGCTACGCCTCACAAAGCATGTTCTGAGATGTAGTTGATATGGTTGAGGCAAGTTGCTCAGAGGTCCTGCTTGCTCATGATACCAAAACCAGATACTCACTTTTAAAGCCTCCATTTTATTTCTTGAAACATATCAAGCATATTTTATAAACCACTAATACCAGTATCTCAAGTCTTCATGGGTTTCATTCTGTAGCTTTCACTCGAATTTACTCTTTTCCTCAACTATTTTGCATTTTACATTTTAAAATATGTTTAAAGGAAACAAATCTTGAATGTACACCTAATGAATTTTCACATTATGTACACACCTGTCTAACCACTATGCAGAACATGTGGAACATTTCCATCACTCCAGAAAGTTCCATTTGGCTTCTTGTTAGATGACTCCCCTTCCCCACTTCCAGGTCAACACTAATTTGACTTCAATCATGGACTAACTTTGCCTGGTATAACCCTTATATAAAATGACCACTTTTAGTAATACTGCTGCTATGAACATTTATAGAAGCATCCTTCTTTCTCTTGGGAAACATCCCCTGCCCCTCAGTAATTTACTAATTCTGGGTTATAGAGTGGAATTTTAAACTTTCTTAGAAATGGCAATTTCCAGAGTAGCCACACCATTTGCACTCTCCACAGTAATGCCGAGTCCCAGTTGTTTGTACATCTTTAGCGTTGTCTAGTCATTGTACTGGGTGCGCTATAGTGTTAGCTCATTTTTGGTTCTAATTTGTATTTCTAATCATGTTAAGCATCTTTTCATATGCTATATTTCTGTAGACTGCTCAGGTCTTTGCCTTTTTTCATATTTTATTGTATATCCTGTCAGGTATGCAGTATTTTCTCCATCGGAGGTTTTTACTTGTCTTTTTACTTTTTAAAATGTTTAGTGCGCTAATCCTTGCCTACTCCAAGGTTGCAAAGATGCTGTTTTCTTCTAGGTTTGCAATTTTCATTTTTACCTTTAACCTATCGTCCATTTTTTATGAGCTAATGGTTCATTTTTATTCATACTAATGTCCAGTTGCTCTAACACACTTATTGGGCGTGAGGGAAACAAAAAACAAATCCAAAAATCAGCATATAACGTAGGGAGGTACAGATCATATAACCTAGGACACTAAAACCTCAGCAAGTTCATACAGTGGAGATCAATCTTACTGGAGAGCCTTGAAAGCTAGGATTCAGAAGTAGTGATTGATAATGGGCTATTTAATGACAGACTCAAGGAGGTATGAAGTGCTTTGAAAGAGTGGGATCTAGAACACAGAAAAAGGTTTAGCACTAAGTTTTGTTGGGGTGGATATGAAGAGCTCTTTTGAATTAGACTAGATTTAGTATCTTGTGTCTACTGAGTTTCAAGATCTCGGTGGTGTTAAGTCAATTCTCAGGAGAATAAAAAAAGTTATGCCTCCTAATGGGCTGCTACCACACTTTGATCTTTGCTTCAACAAGGAATGCTCCTCTTCATATCTGCCCATCAAATTTCTATTAGTTTCAAAGCCTGGTCAAAATACTATTTTCTTCAGAAAACCTTTCCAGGTTTTTCTGAAAGAATCAGTCACTTCCAGAGAACATAGACATCCCTGAGGCTCAAAGGTAGTAGACAGCAGCTCACAACACAGACTAAATCTAATGTCGTCTGACTTCCTATGATGTCACAATGATGCCTTAGTGGCGCGGGGCGGGGGCATTCAGTGGTTCCCCAGTGGCACCGGGATATAGACCAAACTCTACATAGATCAGCTTCCAAGACAGTTCATACTGTTCCAATTTATATCCACAGCTCCATTTCTCATTACTTCCCAATGTTTCATTCTGAGCCTGTCCACAGAGCACTTTTCTTTAAATGAAAAGGCGTGCTTTTTTTCAATCGCCCCAGTATCATCCCATGTTGATGAAAAACCTAGTATAAAGGGCTAAATAAATGTTAATTCAGGACACCCAAGTGATAAAAGCCCAGTTGTGACTAATATGCAAGCATCACTTATCTGTTCACCCAGTCTATAGGCTGTTGGGAAATCACATGAAATCACTGCATAAACATAGCACTATAGCCCGGCCGGGCGTGGCTCAGTGGTTGAGCTATGACCTAGGATCCAGGCGATCGGGGTTCGATTCCCAGTCAGGGCACATGCCCGGGTTGCGGGCTCGATCCCGTCAGGGGTGTGCAGGAGGCAGCCGATCAATGACTCATCATTGATGTTTCTCCCTTTCTCTCTGAAATCAATAAAGATATATCAAAAACAAACAAACAAAAAAACCCCATAGCACTATATACATTTTAATTACTGCATTCTGTATATATTAAGGTAGCTAGGTGGTCTGTGCAATGCAAGAAGGAAATCAGTTCATTACAATTTGCATGCTTGGCTGTGTTTTATCAGTTGTATAGATGTCAATTTGAACCTGAAGAAATCAAACTCACAAATTCCTTCCTCCATCAGCTTCTGATATTCAGTAATGAGCACACTTACACACAATTTAAACTTGAGACACTTAAGTCACACCAATCGCATTATTTTACCAGTATCGTCACTCTCTTCACTAGTTCGGCCTTCAGTGGAAAGAGTACTGTTAGTTAAGGCCAAACAATTTCAGCTTTATGTTAACTTTGAGAAATGGGACATGACAAATTTTTCCTGGTTTCCTCTCCTACAAAACTGGGTGATGTTTGATGGTGACTACGATTCAGGAAAACTTAGACAAAATGTAAAGTGGGAGGTACTAAATAACACACATCTGTGTCACTTGTATTTCAGCCTATCATATGCAGATTCATTTGGTTATTTTAAACAAGCTTCCAGCTTTTTACTTTTAATTTTTAAATCCTTAGCTTTCCTAAAGGCTGGAACTAAAACAAACAAAAAAGCTACATATATATATCCATTACAACCTAGGGAGGTATTAATCAAATAACATAATCTTGCTTCACTTTCTCAGATGTTTTTTGCAAATTGCATGTTTTGATACAGACAAAGTACAGGACTTAAAGATCAATAAACCTGTGGAAAATATGAAAGAACAGAAATTTCTTACTTGACTATGAGAGAGTTCGATTATTTGATCTTTTGATTCCGAGAGATTTCACTAGGAAAAAAATAGCAGATAGGAGCCTAACACACAACTTGAAAATGGCAATGCACTTTTGTTCTACACATAATCCTAAGTGTGACTATATCCTCACCATACCAGAACATTAGGATACATATAGATTCAAAAAACAACACTGTACGTTCATAAGCATATTTTAATTTTTTAAATTTTCACAATTCAAATAAAATTCAGCTAGTTAACATAAATACAGAGGAATTGCACATAATTTACAGCCATGTACAGAATACAATAGCAACCCTCATATAAATGGTCAAAAGATATCAACTCTTGAAGTTGATTATTTAGCTATGACTGAAAGGTCAAGATTTAATCGTTCACATATGCAGGGGTACACATTCAAAATATTTATTAACACAAAAACTGAGTGAAACTAGAATTTTCAGTTTCTAAAAGGAGTAGCATAAAAAGCAGTACATAGCTTAACCAGAAATATAAGGGCATGACAGAGATCTGAGGAGGCAGAGTTAGTACATTAAACGTTTTTATATAATTAAAATTCCTTCCAATTTAAATCATTCAGAACTATCTATATTCTTAGGAATGTTCAAGTCATGATCAATATTAGAGGAAGAAAAAGTTGAACTATTTATCAGCCCCAAAAGGGTCCCTATAGTACTTAACAGTCTGGGCAGAAGAGCATGTAAACAACAAAAGATGGACATGAACAATGCTGGGAGTAAAGGATAGACTGATTTCTAGCATTGAAATCCTTCAAGTTCAAATCAATATTTTTAGTGATTGAACACAAATCTAAAAATACTGACATGTTTATGCCCCAGTTAAGAGTAAACAGTCATTATTTTTAACCCACACTCTGCTGGTCCTAATATACTAATGTTTTTCTACAATGGCCATTAGGTTTTAGGAGACAAAAGGATGGATTAAAAAAATCTAATAGTCTATCTTGGTTTTAGAGTTACAAATCAATTACTTGTAGTTCCCATCCAGAAAGGCTGGTTCCACAGTTACATATATAATAAAAATTAAGACAAGGCTTTGGTGATAGTTTTTTCCTGGATTTAAAAGCACTACAGGGAACCCACAACCACAGGGTTTGGTTCTCAGATTTGGACTTTGAAATTTAGGAAACTGTTTTCTATGAGCCACAGGTACCCAAGTTCTCTCTGCTGCACTATGAGAGTATGCTCTCACTATCTAGTGCTTTAACCTGAATAAGTTGTTTAATTTACTAAGAAGATTCCACAATAAAAGTACATACCCATCTGAAGAGTGCTGACTACCTCTATATTAGAAATAAAATGATACGATAGAAAACAGATGAAAACAAAACACCGTTTTTAAAAAAGTCCAATGTTTTAAGTATGCGTTTCTTTTTAAACATTTGCATCAATTAAAAACAAGATCGCCAAAGAAATATTTCAGAGACAAATTTTATAATTTTTAGTTGTTGTTTTTTATTAACTCTGTCATACATAAAGTAAACTATAACAGACTGCGCTTTGGGGAGGAAAAGACGATTAAAATAAACAACGGTGCTCCTTTCCAGTTGTTGCACAGAGAACAAAGCCTAAGACTAAGATCTTTTCCTTCCAGTCCATATATAAAACTCACTTTTAAAAGCTAAATATAATGCACTAAAGGTCAACGGAAGTTTTACTTGCTAAATACAAACAGGAATAGAATACATGTTCATCCTTGAAGGACACTTGTTATGAATTTGCTACAACTAAATAGTAAGATGTTCCTTAGCTGCTGGTTTCACATCATTCATAACCATTTGTGGGGGACTGAGATCATTAAGATAAGGGAGAGTCTCTGTCCAACATTCAATACAACTAGTATTTACCAATCTTCACAAGGTAAATGGCACTATGTTAGGCAGGACAAGTGGCACCTGAAAAGGCAAACACTATAGATGGAGACTTTCTCTACAGACTTAAGTTAGAAACCCTATTTTTTGTGGAGGTTTTTTGGCATGTTCCTCATAATAAATGTCAAAGCTGAAATTCACCATAAAAGTTATGAATAATCCCAAAGGTAATGAAACTGAATTTGCCTTTGGTCTCCAAATAGACTGGAATGTTTTAGATTCCAATCAAAGCACCTCAAAAACATCCAGTTACTGTTGATTACAAGGAAGTTAAGAAGGTGAAGGAATTTAAGAGGGCACTGTCTCATTGGTGACAGCAGAGAAAGCTTGCAGTGACATGCTACAATTTTCTACATTAGGTCACTATAGGGTATACAGAATACTTAAACATTTACATTAAAGATCTCCAAAACACTACCTAAAGCCCGGAAAAATGTTAAGAACACTGTTTCTGCCTGATACATGGCCAATGTTTAAAAAGAATAATCTTAACATGGAATTCTCTCCTCTTACTACTGCCCCCCAAAGGCCACAAAGTGCATTCAGAGTCATTCTTAAGATAAAGCCATTGCACAAATGCAGTTCATGAGTGTTGAAGTGAGTACCACACTGGAATTTAACTGCAGTTTTCTTACACCAGAACAGCAACAACCGTAACCGAACGTCTCTTAATAGAATTACAGCCAATATCTGTCTAAGGGCCAGACATATAATACATTTAAAGTATTAAAAGGTGCAGCTGAACTCAACAGCAAATTTTAAAGCTATATCCTGTTAGCACATTTCATCTGAATTAACTTGAATCTTTCTATGATTTGCCATTCAAGAAATTAAGATAGAATAAATTTCTTTGCAAAAGCAGTTTGTTCCTTTACAAAACTATGTCAATTAAGATCATATACCTGCTCAATCAGACAGCACGCCCCAGGTATTTCTGTAGCCTTAAAAAAAAACACCAAACAAAGTTGTAGGGGCAAAGCTGAAAATTACCATTTTCTCTATGAAATAAACACAGTCTATACAGATCTTCTGGAAATAATTCAAAGGTCCAAATTCTTAATGTGAAAGCAAATTGAGAAAGACCCAGAAGTGGTAAATTTTTTCCACTTTAAAGAAATGATGCTTAGGCATGATGTGTGGTAATTCAAGTTCAAAACCAATAAATCACTGAAAAGACAATTGCAGTCATTCATGTGTCACAAAGTTAGAAAAGACATAAGGATATGCTCAAGTTACTGAAATGGCCTAAAATCAATTTTACTGGTTTATTTTGTCCCAAACTATTACCATCTGAGTTTGATACATAAATGAACAATTTAAGTGTCCACATTATGCTAAACATCAAGCACCTGCAGCAGTGGGAAACAGAACATTTTAATTATAAAAATATCAAGATATTTAGGACACTGTTAGTTGTCAAAAAGTGACAAGTGATGCTATATAATTAACTTTAAAGTACTGAGCCAGATCCTCTCAAGGACTAATGTGAAAATGATAGTGAGGATCTCACTATTCCTGTTATAAGAATTACACAGAAACCCAAAGTGAGAAATTTATGACCGTCATTATTATCTCTGGATAGTTTATGGGATAGTATATAACTAGGGTTGGCTTTGTTTAGAAGACTGGAGAAGTATTCAAGGAATAAACACTATGCTCTGTCTGCCATAAATAAATAAAATGCAACTGTGTCTCATGGACATGGGTAGAGAAAATGGCAATTTTGAGGAAGGAGTGCTTCTAAAGGCTTTTTCTTGAAGGCAGCCAGGTTTTATTCACGTTACTGAAAAGATCAAGTAATGTGGTTATGATTACTTGAATTCTGACAACCAGACTTCCACTCAGGCATAGTTACACGTTCCCAAACCATTTTCCTTCTGTCCACCATGCTGGTTCCGATACTCCATGGTCCACTGTAATCTTTTGGTCTTCCCTCTTTATAGTGTGGCGGCCTGGTGTTGCTATCCATTGAGTAGGTAGACCACCAATTCATAGGTGGCCATCATAATGGCTGTGTTGGGAATCTGTCTCACCAGATGAGTTGTTAGACCACGGTAAAGAGATCCATAACCTTCTTCTTGAACAACCAAAGACAGTGTCTGAAAAAAAGATCTGTATTTTGTTCCCTCTTCACGTAGTCTTGTTCTTACAACTTCTGTTTAGGAAAAAAATAAAGTCATTTTATTTAAACATTAGTGATTATCTTCATACTCTCCTAATATTGAACACATCCCATTTACCTGTAAGCATAAGCTTAGGATAAATAAGAAGTAATTTTTAATATGTAACTTATTGAAACCAGTCACATTATATCACTATCAAACTTCTAAGCTGGCTAAAATCATGTATACTTATAAAATTTCATAGGTTCCTGAATGGTAAAAAACAGAATGAAATAAAAGATCAGTTGTATTCTAGATACAGATAAAAGGGAGAATAAATGTGATAGGAAAAAGGTGAAGCAGCAGGAAAGGGAGTCGTGGTGGTATCAAAGATAAAAGGGGCAGAAAAGTGGACCGCACAAGAAAATAGAATTACTAATCTGTTCACAGTGGTCTGCGTATGCCAGCATAAACTAACTGCATGTGGATAAGACTGAAAATGTTTAAAATACAAGCTGCCAGCCAAAAGGCCCCATCTGGGAAGCAACTAAGCAAAAACCATAAAATTCTAGAACTGAAAGGGATCTTTTTTTAAAAATGACTTTTTTTCTTTTTTTGGTAAATCCTCACCTGAGGACATATTTCCACTGATTTTCAGAGAGAGAAGAAGGAAGAAGGAGAGGAAGAGGGGGAGAGGGAGGGAGGAGGACAGAGGGGGAGAGGAGAGGAT